CCACTACTAGTACTATTATTATTGTTACTATTACTACCACCACTACCAGCCTGGTTGATCAGGCCGTTGACTCCCGCAAACATCCTTCAGGAACCACTACCACCACTACACCAAACTTACAAGAACCTACTTTGTCCCACAAACATGTTGTCTTGAGACAATCACACTGTGTCCCTGCCCTCTTAGCCCGGCCCAAGACCAGGCCTCCAGACCAAGCCTCCAGACCTGGCCTCCAGACCTGGCCTCCAGACCTGGCCTCCAGACCAGACCTCCAGACCAGGCCTTCAGACGAGGCCTTCAGACTAGGCCTCCAGACCAAGCCTCCAGACCTGGCCTCCAGACCTGGCCTCCAGACCTGGCCTCCAGACCAGACCTCCAGACCAGGCCTTCAGACGAGGCCTTCAGACTAGGCCTCCAGACCAAGCCTCCAGACCTGGCCTCCAGACCTGGCCTCCAGACCTGGCCTCCAGACCAGACCTCCAGACCAGGCCTTCAGACGAGGCCTTCAGACTAGGTCTCCAGACCAGGCCTCCAGACCAGGCCTCCAGACCAGGCCCTCAGACCAAGCCTCCAGACCAGACCTCCAGACCAAGCCTTCAGACCAGGTCTTCAGACCAAGCCTACAGACCAGGCCTCCAGACAAGGTCTTCAGACCAAGTCTACAGACCAGGCCTCCAGACCAGGCCTTCAGACCAGGTCTTCAGACCAAGCCTACAGACCAGGCCTCCAGACCAGGTCTTCAGACCAAGCCTACGGGCCAAGCCTCCAGACCAGGTCTTCAGACCAAGCCTACAGACCAGGCCTCCAGACCAGGTCTTCAGACCAAGCCTTCAGACCAGTCCTCCAGACCAGGCCTCCAGACCAGGCCTCCAGACCAAGCCTACAGACCAGGCCTCCAGACCAGGCCTCCAGGCCTCCAGACCAAGTCTTCAGACCAAGCCTTCAGACCAGGCCTCCACACCATTCTAATATCTCATCGAAAATCTTATATTTAGGTATCCCCGAAAGCAGTATACCTGTAGGGGGATATCGATGCTCTCCTTCCAAGGTTACTGGGCGATGATAAAACGAGAATGTTTCTTCCGATCGGCATCAAACCACCAGCGCTGCTGTATCATATATTTATAGGAAGGTTCTGATTTCGATTTGCATCAAAATGCCTTGATGCCAGTGAAGGGCTCTTGATTCAAGAAACTTGGACACACTCTCTCCATCCTAGGATCAAATCTGAGCGTCCCCCCCCCTTCCCGAGCGGTCCACTACTCCTACTGGTTTAGCGCTCTCCCTCCGTTAAAAGAAGTCAAAGTATATCTTATTTTTATGCTTATTTTGTCCTTGACAATTTATTCTTGTAAGTAAACATCAGGAGGAAGAAAATGTTGAGTAAATAAACACTAGGAGGAAGAAAGTATAGATGGAGTGAACATCAGGGAGAAGAAAGTATAGATGGAATGAACATCAGGGAGAAGAAAGTATAGATGGAGTAAACATCAGGGAGAAGAAAGTATAGATGGAATGAACATCAGGGAGAAGAAAGTATAGATGGAGTAAACATCAGGGAGAAGAAAGTATAGATGAAATGAACATCAGGAGGAAGAAAGTACAGATGGAGTAAACATCAGGGAGAAGAAAGTATAGATGGAATGAACATCAGGGAGAAGAAAGTATAGATGGAGTAAACATCAGGGAGAAGAAAGTATAGATGGAGTAAACATCAGGGAGAAGAAAGTATAGATGGAGTAAACATCAGGGAGAAGAAAGTATAGATGGAGTAAACATCAGGGAGAAAAAGTATAGATGGAGTAAACATCAGGGAGAAGAAAGTATAAATGGAGTAAACATCAGGGAGAAGAAAGTACAGATGGAGTAAACATCAGGGAGAAGAAAGTATAGATGGAGTAAACATCAGGGAGAAGAAAGTACAGATGGAGTAAACATCAGGGAGAAGAAAGTATAGATGGAGTAAACATCAGGGAGAAGAAAGTACAGATGGAGTAAACATCAGGGAGAAGAAAGTATAGATGGAGTAAACATCAGGGAGAAGAAAGTATAGATGGAGTAAACATCAGGGAGAAGAAAGTATAGATGGAGTAAACATCAGGGAGAAGAAAGTACAGATGGAGTAAACATCAGGGAGAAGAAAGTATAGATGGAGTAAACATCAGGGAGAAGAAAGTATAGATGGAGTAAACATCAGGGAGAAGAAAGTATAGATGGAGTAAACATCAGGGAGAAGAAAGTACAGATGGAGTAAACATCAGGGAGAAGAAAGTATAGATGGAGTAAACATCAGGGAGAAGAAAGTATAGATGGAGTAAACATCAGGGAGAAGAAAGTACAGATGGAGTAAACATCAGGGAGAAGAAAGTATAGATGGAGTAAACATCAGGGAGAAGAAAGTATAGATGGAGTAAACATCAGGGAGAAGAAAGTACAGATGGAGTAAACATCAGGGAGAAGAAAGTATAGATGGAGTAAACATCAGGGAGAAGAAAGTATAGATGGAGTAAACATCAGGGAGAAGAAAGTATAGATGGAGTAAACATCAGGGAGAAGAAAGTACAGATGGAGTAAACATCAGGGAGAAGAAAGTATAGATGGAGTAAACATCAGGGAGAAGAAAGTATAGATGGAGTAAACATCAGGGAGAAGAAAGTATAGATGGAGTAAACATCAGGGAGAAGAAAGTACAGATGGAGTAAACATCAGGGAGAAGAAAGTATAGATGGAGTAAACATCAGGGAGAAGAAAGTATAGATGGAGTAAACATCAGGGAGAAGAAAGTATAGATGGAGTAAACATCAGGGAGAAGAAAGTACAGATGGAGTAAACATCAGGGAGAAGAAAGTATAGATGGAGTAAACATCAGGGAGAAGAAAGTATAGATGGAGTAAACTAAACGTCAGGAAGAAGAAAGTATAGATGGTGTAAACTAAACATCAGGGAGAAGAAACTAAGAAATAAACTAAACATCAGGAAAAGAACAGTGATGCCAGCTCTTCTGAGTTAGTTATCCAACTTCCCTGTGGTGATAATTAACCTCCACATGTACATGATAGCGAGAGGGAGGGGGAGATGAGAGAGGGAGGGGGAGATGAGAGAGGGAGAGGGAGATGAGAGAGGGAGGGGGAGATGAGAGAGGGAGGGGGAGAGAGATGGGAGAGGGACGGTGGTGGGATATGAAGGGAGAGAGGAGAGGTGGAAGAGGGAGGAGTGAGAGACGACAGAGGGAGGGAGAGAGAATAAGGGGACGGAGTAGAGAGAGGAAGGAGGGAGGAAGGGAGAGAGGGTGATGAAGCGGAATGAGATAAGAACTGTGGGTAGTGGCTATGGTGAAGTGAAGAATGTGAGATTATGTGCAGGAAGCAGGAGAGAGAGAGAGAGAGAGAGAGAGAGAGAGAGAGAGAGAGAGAGAGAGAGAGAGAGAGAGAGAGAGAGAGAGAGAGAAAGTAGATATCTACTGTAGGTACAAAAGAAGAGTGGTGGAGGCAGAAAAGTAATCACAGAATCTCTTAATCAAAATCATTTTCTTCATCTGGAGTCTTCAACACAAGCTCAGTCATCATCACTCTCACCATGGCACCATGCAACATAGTTCCTTCATGCCGGTGAGGGGTCATCCAAGCACTCTATGACCCCCTCTGAGGTCACTTGACTCATGGCACTCCCCTCTCAGGGCAGTTCTTGCTGGAAGTTACAGTGAGGAGGCTTATTCATGATCATAAAGTCATGTGGTCGTAATCTTTCTTTAAAAATGCTGCAGATCAATCGCTCTCATTGCAAGCTTGCAACACGGGCGTGGCAGAACAACCAAGGCACTTGCAATGCCTGTCATATCGATGCTTTTTCCGCAAATGACTCCATAAGATCATCATATATTATCGAGAAGTTGATGAATATGATACGTGTGCGACACTAAGGTTTCTTCAGTCGAATACCAGAGATTAGAACACTAGAGACAGTAGAAGGTAAGAAGGAACTGAGGTGATCCGTCTCTCAGGGTGTGGTTAGGTTAGGTAAGATTAGTCAGGAACCAGGACAAGTGTTTCCTGACGCGGGTTATCCCAGGTTACTATGTGTGATATTTGTACTTACGTGTACCTGTAGCTAAATATACTTGATAAATGAGATACTTGTGCAAGACTTGGGTATACCTGGAGAGTATACCTGGAGAGGGTTTCGGGGGTCAACGCCCCCGCGGCCCGGTCTGAGATTGGTGTGAGACTGGTGTGAGACTGGTCTGAGACTGGTGTGATTCTGGTCTGAGACTGGTCTGAGACTGGGTTGAGATTGGTCTGAGACTGGTCTGAGACTGGTCTGAGACTGGTCTGAGACTGGGCTGAGACTGGTCTGAGACTGATGTGATTCTGGTCTGAGACTGGTCTGAGACTGGGTTGAGATTGGTCTGAGACTGGTCTGAGACTGGTCTGAGACTGGGCTGAGACTGGTCTGAGACTGATGTGATTCTGGTCTGAGACTAGTCTGAGATTTGTCTGGGACTGGTCTGAGACAGGAAACAGTTTCGCCACCCAGACACCCAGGTGTTGCACAAGTGTCTCATTTATCAACTTGTCGGTTTTCTAAACCACTTATTCTAAATAAACTTAATTATGACGACCCGCCACTGGAACTTTTGGTTATTTGACCGAAGCCTTCCGCTGGCTTACCCGTCCACCCCTTCAAAAAAAATCAAATTGAGGTCTCGATTTTGTCCTTCGAGCAAAATTGTAATATAATAATAATAATAATAATAATAATAATAATAATAATAATAATAATAATAATAATAATAATGTCAGTCCTATAATAATAATAATAATAATAATAATAATAATAATAATAATGTCAGTCCTATAATAATAATAATAATAATAATAATAATAATAATAATAATATCAGTCCTGCCCTCATAATGTATTTTGTCTTACATTATTTGCATTTGTCCTTCCATTGATGCTTATTATTACATTAATGTATTTTTTCTCTGCCTTTTACAGATCTGTGCAGCTGGAGCTGACTGTTGCTTCCAGCAGTCGGTGAGTAAAATCTTCCTTTCAGTTTATTACAACAGTTAGAGATTTGCTCTTTTATAGGCATATTTAGGTCTACTTGTTTATCTGACTCATATTTGAAACACACTCGTAGGACTAAGCAATAATTGGTTATAATCATAACCATAATTTTTAAAGGGGTGGAGGGGTAAGCCGGTGGAAGGCTTCGGTCAGATGATCAAAAGTTCCAGCTGTGGGTCATCATATGACTAAGACCCGAGTCAGGAAACGTTTGTCCTGTTTCCTGACGAATGTTATCTAACCTAGTTGTAGGAGTGAACTCCTAGGACTGTGCGAAACGTTCACTGAATGTCTGAACTACACGTTCATAAACCTGAGACACATTCACTGAACTTCCGGGACTGTTAGCGACGTTCAGTGAACTCCCAGTAGTGTGAAACATTAACTGAACTTCCAGGACTTTGAAACACGTTTATCAAACTTATAAAAATGCGAGACAAGTTAAGTTAGTTACCCAGAGAGTGAGACACCATCACATATACACTCACTAGCTTGACACGGACAAGTGACACATTTAATCCGGAGTGAATCACTGAGCTAACACTTACACTGTCTTGAAGTGCTTCAGGGATCATCACAACTCGCAGTCCAACCTAAGTATCTCACCGGCAAATCAGGAACAGATTTCACAAGGTTGTCAAGATCTTTCTTGAAGCCTCCCAGGAGCTTACTATTGGATGTGAAGCCTAACAGCTACCTTGAGGCTTCACCCCCCACTCCCCCTGACACAGTGTTACCTTAACAAGGTGCTGTGGTTTGAGTGATTTGTACCTCGGGAAAAGGACCTCTCCTCTGGGACGACCTCTTCAAGGGGGGCTCCTTGGCGTGGTGAAGAGGCTCTTGGTCTGAGGAATTTGACCTGTCGGTCTTCTTCCTCAGACCGAACCTAATTACCCCCCAATCTCCCCTCCCCTATCCTATCCTCCCCATCCTCCCCTTTTTCCATTCCTCCTCCTCCTCCCCACCCCTCCCTTTTTCCCTTCCTCTTTTTGGCCTTTGGGATTTCTCCCACAGGCGCACTAATTCCTAGGTAGGGGAAAGGACACCGGGGTCCATCCCATTCCGTTGAGGTTCTTGGCGGTAGCGTAGTTTGCCATGGAATCTGGATCGCCTGGGGATGTCCCGATCCCTCTCCGGTATCCCGGAGTAGCTTTGGGTGTCTTTTGGGCGACGGGTGTATCTCTGGAAGCCACATTTCGGATTCCGGGGGTGGTGGCCGAAGGAGGTATGCTTTGTGGCGGATATCCGGCCGCCCTCTCTTTTGTCCACCGAGGTAGCTCGGCAGATGTGAGGTTGCTATCCCGGATTGCTGGTTTACTGGCATGAAGGGTAGGGTATGGCACGGGTTCCATGCTGCATCTGCGCTACTAGCGGTGCTGAGGTCCTCTTGGGCGTGGAGGGAGATTTCCAGCCCTTTCATTCCTCCTGGGAACTATCCCTTCCCGCTCCCCCCTTTTTTTATTCTTTTTTTTATTTTTATTTTCTTTTCTTCTTTCTTTTTTTTTTCTTAAAAACAAAAAGCAAAGGAGTAACCAAACCATGGAGAACCCAATCCATGAACCCACTAGGCCCCTTCTTGATACCGCACCCCATTCTGACCCTGCCTTGTGTTTAGACCACTCTTTGGACACTCCTGATGCCCCTGTACCTCTTGCTGGTGCTGTTTCCTCACCTGCTTCAGGTACCGGGGCTTCGACTGACTCCTTCGATTTGTCTGAACTCCGCTCTCCTTTGACTATACTTCCGGCTTCTCCCTCTACGGTACGGCAATTTTCGAATCGCCCGCCCATTTCACGCCGGACCAACTCCGGTCCTACTCCTAAACGCCAACGTCAATCCCCTGATGATGCTCCTTCGTTACCTTCCCATTCTACTCGGAAAAGACCAACACGTCAAGCACTCCCTCTCCACACTCAGTTTCGGACCACACAATGGACTAAATTCTTTACTTTATGACCGACTTCTTCTTCTGCCTACCTTTCTCACCATAGTATTGGCAAAGCACTCCTGCGTCATGTTGGTAGAGATATTTCATTTCATGCTCTCAAGAGCGGTACGCGCATCGTCACTGTCCAGAATGCTACCCAAGCTCATGATCTTTCTCTCCTTTCGAATATCGATACTACTCCTATCACTATTGAAAAACATCTTTCTCTCAATTCTTGTAGTGGTACTGTCATTCTGCCCCATACCATAGTCTAACAATATTTCCAGTCATGTGGCAATGACATTCTTGAACAGCCTGGAGATGGGAAGTACAGTGCCTGCACTCTGAAGGAGGGGTGTTAATGTTGCAGTTTAAAAACTGTAGTGTAAAGCATCCTTCTGGCAAGACAGTGATGGAGTGAATGATGGTGAAAGTTTTTCTTTTTCGGGTCACCCTGCCTTGGTGGGAATCGGCCAGTGTGATAATAAATAAATAATAAAAACCTTTCTTTTAAAGACTATAACAAGACAAAGATCACGACAGCCAGGAAGATGACTGGGTGGGTATTGAGAACTTTCAAAACAAGGGAAATAATGCCGATGGTGACACTCTTCAAATCGCTAGTGCTCCCTCACTTAGAATATTGCTTAGTGCTGACGGCCCCATTCAGGGCAGGAGAAATATCGGAGCTGGAACAAATACAGAGATCGTTTACGGCTCACATTGAGCCAGTAAAGCACCTAAACTACTGGGAACGCCTGCAAGTTTTGAACATGTACTCATTGGAGCGGAGGAGAGAGAGGTACATGATAATATATACCTGGAAGGTACTCGAGGGCTTGGTCCCAAATCTGCACACTGCCATAACAACATACTGGAGTGAGAGATATGGGAGGAAGTGTAAAATAAACCCAGTGAGGAGCAGGAGTGCTGTGGGGACAATAAGGGAACACTGTATCAACATCCGGGGTCCCAGACTTTTCAACATCTTACCAGAAGATATCAGAAACACTGCTGGAACAAGTGTTGAAGCCTTCAAAAGGAAACTAGACAAGTATCTTCACCAGGTGCCAGATCAACCAGGCTGTGATGGATATGTGGGGCAGCGGGCCTCCAGCAGCAACAGCCTGGTTGACCAGGCAAGTACCAGACGAGCCTGGCCCATGGCCGGGCTCAGAGAGTAGATATACTCTCGAAATTCTTCAAAGGTATATGAAAGTAAATTCATTCTTGAAGACAGCCAGAGATTCGTTGGTAATTCCCTTTCTGCACGAAGTCTTTTAAACTTGTCACAGTTGGAAGTTGAAGACTCAAATGAATCACAGGGATGTTAGGAAGTATTTCTTCAGCCACAGAGTTGTCAGGAAGTGGAATAGTCTGCGAAGTGATGTAGGGGAGGCAGGGTCCATACATAGCTTTAAGAAGAGGTATGATAAGGCTCATGGAGCAGGAAGAGTGACCTAGTAGCGACCAGTGAAGAGGCGGGGCCAGGAGCTGTGAATCGACCCCTGTAACCACAATTAGGTGAGCACACACATTCCTGGCTGGGCCAGGACCTATGACTCGACCTCCACACACACACACACACAAACACACACACACACACACACACACACACACACACACACACACACACACACACACACACACACACAACACAAACACACACACACACACAAACACACACAAACACACACACACACACACACACACACACACACACACACACACACACACACACACACACACACACACACACACAGGGCCAGGAGCTCGGACTCGTCCCCCGCAACCTCAACTAGGTGAGTACACACACACATTTATTCAACAGAGTATTTGAGAGGGTGAAGAGAGATGCAGAAATGATCATCAGAGGCGTGATGACAGGAGGGTTGATGGAAGCTGATATTACAAGTGTCATAAGGATGTCAGGAAACAAACTATGTAGTTTCAAGATGGTAAATGGAATGAAAGGAATAAGAAGATATTTATGTAGATAAATTTTATACTTGGTATCAAGAGTACGAGGTGATATCAAAGAGTGCCTAGACTGGAGTTCCTGTATATTTCCTGTGTGAAATACGGCAGAGTAGATGAGACTCAGCAGTACATGCCTTTGTGAGGTAGCGTGTTGAGTTTCAATGCGATCGGTCATTGTGTTGAGGTTAGATGGACATTTTTAGTCGTCTCGGTGCATTGTTGCGATTTTTTGTGTAACAATGAATCTTTTTGAAAGAACAGCCTTTGTTGTAACATTGTTTCTAGCTTGGTAATACAGCCCCTCAAGGGAGGTTCCTTGACGCTGGTGAGGGACTCTTGATCTAGGGAATTGGATCTGTGCTCAAGTTCCCTGAATTGATCCTGAATACCTTCCGTCCCCCCCACATGCGCTGCATAATCCTACGGGTTTAGCGTTCCCCCATGTTTATAATAATAATAATAATTGGTAATACAGCTAGTGAAACACACAAAATGCATTTACCGATGAAGCAATGAGTCAGACACAGTGTTTTGAATGTTTTTTTGGATTCCAAGTAGGACCAATGTTAATTGAGGATGATGGACCATCTGGCCATCCATCAACATTAAAAACAGACAAACATTGAAGAGCGAGAAATAGTATTCACGAAGATCGTCAAAATTGCAAATACTGTGGGAAGTCTGGCTAAAAAAAAAAAAAAATGAACATGAGGCGAGTGGCTGTGAAATTTGTGTCCTACTTGCTGACTCAAGACCAGATTATTGCTTGTGTGGAAAATACTGTATATTTTCCGGAAATATGGTAATTTATAGGTAAATAGATGCCCTATATTGTATTTTTAAAAGAAGTATGTTATCGAAAATGGGAAACTGGACCTGCGCCTGCGCAGACAACAGTCGCCATTTTGTTTGAATTGAATAACACGTTGTGAATAATGGGAAGAATTTTTCGTGCTCTAGAGGTTAAAATTGGGCTGACACCTCTCAAATAGGAGGCGAAATTGTTGGATGTGCATTCCTGCATAATTTGAGAATCAGGCGACAGGACAGGACAACT